TATGGATCATATATAGGTTGTTGTTTTAGACCACTGCTGTATAGTTTATGACTAGGATATATAATTTAATAGACAATTGATACTCAACTCATGGATAATAAGCGTATAGGTTTTATAGTCACGCAAAGTTAAACAAAACAGAATGCAGTTTTCAGATGTGCTAACACTAGCGGTCCTCCGCCAGAAATGCAGCTCACTGTTCGCGCAAAAGGTCACTTGCGAAAGTATACACTATTCTGAACGTAATCGGCTAGATGTAAACATCGCTAGCATGTAAACTTATACAAATGTTAAATTAAGAATCAATACCACAGCACTAGCGACACTCCTATAAGTGCTCCGTCTCCATCTTCAGCAGCAAGCGAAAAGTTCCAATTCCGATTTCAAGACCGTCAACAACCGTCTGATTGTTTATCCGTCTCGCCCTTCCCCTGAGTGTTGAGCGTCGGTCAGATCCCCTTTGTAACTCCTCGCAGCGCCATTTTCCTCAGACCGTAATGATCTATCTGCGCCTCCGCACTGTTCACTCATTCCCAAATGGTTCTAACAATATCTTGTACCCAATTCATACACATGCTTCCCATTCGATACAACAGACAAGGGGAAAAGACCGCTTTATCAATGTTTTTCAAGAAAGTGAAAGCATAAACAGATACAATGCAACCAGCCGACACACCTGGCCTCGGAACGCAAACTCAGTGTTCCCCAACCAATCAGAGACCCCCGGATACAGATCCAGACATTAAAACCTTTAGATTTACAACCTCATAGGTGCGCTAAAACGTGGATCGAACACAACCAAGGCGAAACATTTGGCTTGGATGCCCAACCTAGACCTTCCGAACCCTACACTTGACACCAAGTACGGACAGGGGCAAATCTACATTTGAGAGGATCGGCTTTCTTGTCCCTGGTTATATCAAATCGCTTAGTCTCTCTCTGACTGTCCAAAGCATCGCACACGGCACTATTTCCGTAGCTTCAGCGAAAGCCACCAGATATATGTGATAGTTGCACTGGTAAACTGAAAGGCGCCCTAATGTAATGTACCAACGACCTTCGGAGTGCGAACCCAAAAGCTCTTGCTAAGAAGACTTCCCCAACCATCATCCCCACCCTCAAGAAAAGAAATGAATCTTATCTTCTTCTTTTTATAGTCGCTGTCGTGTGATGTTGGTGGTCGTGTCTATCCACAACCTTCTGTTTCTTGTACTTTCAGTCGATTCTCAAACAGATGATCTTCCAGGCCATCATGTCCAACTATCCAGCCTCCTTTCATTCTGTCTCCCTCTGCATCTCTTCGCCTCCAACATTCCCACGTTCATGATTTACTCCAGTTTTCTCCTTCTCGTGACACGATCAAAGAATGCACAATGTCGCCTTTTTATGTGGGCAATCAGTTCTGGACTGGAGACACTATAACCAACTTCTCATGGAAACAGTCTAAGAACTGGCCAACATTATGGGTGCAGGTAAAGACACATCAGCAAAAGAAGGGCTTTGTACAGCCCCGTTACATCTGAGAAGGAAGCAATTAATATACAATTACTGGCTTCAGACCGCAAACAATCATGAACATCCAGCATGTGACGCTTTTAACATCAATACAAAAAACAAAACAAAAAGTTCAATAGGGTGCTAAAAAGAAACGATCTTAGGCCAGTAACATGGGATGCTGCAGCAGAAATAAATACTAATGAGGAACTAGCAAGAACGTTTGAATTAGGTAAGAAATATGAACCTCAGATACCGGCATAGGAATTGAAACTGTTAAATGTATGCATATCAAACATGACAAGTCAGGACTATAGCAGAGGAACACATTAGAAACATTGAAACTGTTAAATGTATACATATCAAACACTACAAGTAAGGACTATAGCAGAGGAACACATTAGAAACATTGAAACTGTAAACCTGATAATATACACGGATGGATCTAAAAGTGAGACAGAAGTATGAGCAAGTGTTTATATTCCTTATATTCCTTTTTGCAAAATATAAACGTTTTATAAAGTCACAGATCATACGCCAGTTTTCACAGCCGAATCAGTCGACACATAGTGAAAGCTTTGGAGATAGCAGCAGAACCCCCCCCCCCCCTACCCCCCCCCCACTGAAACTGACAATAATGACAGATTCTCTTCTTTCATCTGTACAATCACATGGTAACTATAGACAGGGAAGTAGTTCAGACATAAAAGAGGAGATATTCACACGAATCACACAACCTAGGAACAACGGATGCCAGGTCACCGTAACATGGCTTCCAGCGCATAAGGGCATAGTTGGTAATGAAAAGGCGGGTATTTCTGAAAAAAGCGGTGCCAGCAACCTGAATATAATCGAACAGGCCTAGGAAAATCTGAGGGGAAGAATCAAATCAAACAGTATATTTCAGGAATGTGGAAGCCGTTAGTTGCGTATCCTTTACAGGACGTTGCAGAAATAACCCCAACAGCCCCTGGTTGTTGTGTGGTTTCTCTAGGCAAATTTACGTCCAGTAGTTTGCCATTACTTACTGGACGGTCGGCCCCCTGATACCACTGTAGAAACTAACGCAAGGCGCATGGCCCGCAGCTGGGATCGAACCCGGCACCCCTGCATTACGAAGCGTTCGCATCGACTGCATGTGGAAGAGACAGTGGAAATTGAGTGCTACTGGCAGAAGGGCAGGCGGATATTTGGGAGAAACGACCCTGACCTCACAAGTCACAGAGAACCTAAAAATTCCAGCAAATAACAAATTATGGGGATAAAGCTTGGATACCGGAAAGCCGAATATACAGCAACCTAGTGCTTAGACTGCATTCAGGAAAACACAGTGGACCACTTCCTGCTATCACGCACCTTATTAAAATAGGAAAGAAAACCCCTGGGAGACTATTTTCAAAAAACTCAATAAGTCATGACATCCTAGGAATGCTTACATGTTGACTGCAATGAGAACATACAGAAACAAATACAGAAATCCATTTGTAGGACAAGTACAAATATATAAGTCTCTGTAGAATAAGATATGATGAGACAGAGGCGGTGAGGTGAGAAAAACGAACTGATCAAGGAGAATTGTGAAGAAGAAGGAAATACATTGTAGGAAACAGCCTAACCTGGCCAAGACTGCCTAACTATTCCCTGATAGTAAGGCTATTGAGAAGGTGTCACACATACAAACCACAAGACCCGGACTAGTGACCGACTGTATCAGGATCTGAACACATGGCCTTCTGATCCACAGGCGAGCGTTCGGCTGCTGCACGACGGCGTCTGCCTTGAGTGTATGTGTACATGCATATGTATGTGTGTAAGCAAACACGTGTACATGGATTCCCTCGTGGGCGTGTGCGCATGTGTGTATGCAAACGCGCATGCGCGCAGCCCCCTCCTTAAAAGCCCTCACCAGGTACTAATGTCCCACTCCAAGCCACTAGTTGTGGTGCAATTAACATTTCTTAGCCAACATAATGGGCACAAAGAAACCAAACTACAGTTATAACCGATACTGCTCGCTGTAGGTTGAACATAGTCGATTTCTTGTTTTCTTTTACACAATCGGATGAATGGATGGAAGGAACAGTCTGAAGAGTTGCCTTGGAGAAGCTGCTTGGAAGTTCTAGTGTGCAGTGATGTTGATTGTTATAACATATCATAACCATTGTCCAGAAAGATGGCAAGGTGGCGGTAACAACAGTACGATAACGATAAAGGTGATAATGTGGTGGTGGTGACGGCGGTAGGGGCAGCGATGGTTCTGTAATATGCCCATGACGAGACAAATCCACAAGTTGAACATTGGAGTAACTGCAGAATGCACAGAAACAACCCAATTTTCCAGCAGAAATCATTTATGAGTTGGGTTATCTTCACAGAACTAAAGACACGTCCATATGTGCTCGGATTTCCCCTTTAACATATACATCCGCGTCTTGCGTTTAACATTTTAGTCGTATACGGGTTAACAAGACTTCTCGTACGTCAGACGTACCTCTCATGCTTGGCTGTGCCAATGTAAACTTCCAATTTCCACATTCTTAGCAAAGGTATGTATACGTTGCTTCCCACATCCTCTAATCATCCTATTTCTATAAGAGCATTAACAATGTCAGCACCATCCATGGGCTGGCCACCTGCAACTAACGAAGAACCGGCCAATCTATCTGCTCTTTCACTGCCAACAACAACCGCATACCATAGGATAAAGATGAAGCTAAGCTAACTGCATGCAAGATAGAGCTTGGCAATGACTCAGTACATAGTCTGCCAGTTAAGAATGCTTCAGCCGGCCGGAATAATGCACACAGAATCACTCAGCGTACTCACGTGGGAAGCGTCACGTGATTCCGGCCACACAAAAACCATGTGTCACTGCCATCAACTCCATCGTCAACATCGTCAATAAAGCGGTATCAGTGATCAGTGTTAATGTTGGTGTGTTGGAAAATGAACAGGCAGATAGACTAGCTGGAGCCATTAGCGGTGGCAGATATTGGAAAGTGGCTGTTCAACAGTTCACGATCTCACTTCCAGATACTCAAGTGCCTCATCCTAGCACTGTTAGCCAATTAATTAAGAAATGTCGCAACACTGGTAGTATTCAAAATGTGCGCCACCATGGTAGATCACCTGTTTCTTAAAAACCTGCCTCATCGTTCACAGAATCATACTAAAGAGTAAATACAGCAGTATTTCCAACACTGATTGTGGATAGAGCCGTAATGTGGAAAACAGTACCCAACATAAGACGCACTATAGCAGTAAATGTTGCATTAACTCTACAAACGATGATTACAGAAATAAGAACATCTAATTTTGTTTTTCGTAAAATACACTTATTAAACATACACCCTATATAAAGAAAAGCAAAGGAATGGAATATTTTTCATGCCATCAGGCTATTGGGCATATAGGGCTAGACCTTACGTAGCTGCTGATTGATCATGCTGTTTACAGTCGATTGTGTCCGCATGAATTGAACTGAACACAAACAAAAGGAAGCTTACCGTATCCAGAGAAGCCGTTTTTCATAATCTCGGCCTGAATCTGGTAATCGCGGCTCAACCAAAATGTCGGAGGCTCCTCGCTCTCTGGAGACTGATGCCAACAGTGGAGGGCCCACTCTTCCATCACTGCCGAGTCTAAAGACTGTCTGCCAAGAGGAGCAGCAGGGTGTTAGACGAGAACACGGATGTATGCTGATTAATTAATATGAGATTATATTTAGATATTTTTTTTTTAAAATTACCAGCCAGCCAAATCATCATCGTCGTGCGTTAACACTGCGTGACGTTGGGTCCCCAGTTGCAGTTATCTGATCTGCCGCCTCCACATTTGACGGTCTATTGTAATGGACTTCTTGGCTGCATGGGTTCAAAGATTCGTCGTAAGACTTTGTTTACGAACACTTGTACACACATCAACAAAGTTGAGTCAATTGATCTGTTACTTGAATTACTGTTGCCTCTAGTCTGACATCCGCTTGATTTGTTGCTGATATATTTTTCTTTTCCTAACTCATTTGTTCTCCAACCCATGACGCCATATTTGCTAAATCATCTGTTTTCCTGTGCATGGCATTGCTGTTTTTATTAAGTAGAACAATATCAGGACTAGTAGACGCTTTATGAATAATACATCCTAGCTGGCATCAACATTAGGTTTGTGTTAACCGACTGTTTGTCTTAAGCGAATTTGTGTTAAGGAGGTTAAACTCTAGTAACTCCCTGTGTGGGTTTCGGTACCCCATTTTAGAAGGAAAAAGAATAGACACCAGTGCCTCCTTAACAGGCATATCGTACAAGGGGAGTTTTCTGAGTGGGTGAGTGACGTCCACCCCCCCCCCCCCCCCCCAAATCCTTCCAGGATCGCACAACAAGCGATAAACACCAGGTGAGACAAAGTGTCACCATTCGAATGAGAACTGTCTGAGTGCAAGTCCTAGATTCCTCGTTCAACCGTTAGGTTATATTTAGGGTCCCCGACGATAGCCGGGGCGGAGCTTTAAAATTACAAATGCGTCCTATACTGGGGAGGAACAAAGCTCAAAGGTTCCTTCCAAGTCGGAGTGCATATGACCGAAAAGCGAGGAACCAGCAGTCTGCAAACAAATATTCCATATCTGTAGAACAGATGTGCACCCAAAACTCAAATTCTTAAAAAAAAGACAAAAGTCCAGAAATAGACGAACAACCACGACTCACCGCCGGGGTTTACAGCAGGCGAACGCGTAACAGCATAATAGGACTGGAGTAGCTAACCAGCCAACCAACTAGTCGATTATCTAACCAACCAATTAACTAACCAACCACCCAATTAACTAACCAACCAACTGGTCGATTGTCTAACCAACCCGTTAACTAACCAACCAAACAATTAACTAACCAACCACCCAATTAACTAACCAACCAAACAATTAACTAACTAACCAACCAATTAACTAACCAACCACCCAATTAACTAACCAACCACCCAATTAACTAGCCAACCATCCAATTAACTAACCAACCACCCAATTAACTAACCAACCATCCAATTAACTAACCAACCATCCAATTAACTAACCAACCACCCAATTAACTAACCAACCATCCAATTAACTAACCAACCATCCAATTAACTAACCAACCATCCAATTAACTAACCAACCAAACAATTAACTAACTAACCAACCAATTAACTAACCAACCACCCAATTAACTAACCAACCACCCAATTAACTAGCCAACCATCCAATTAACTAACCAACCACCCAATTAACTAATCAACCAACTGGTCGATTGTCTAACCAACCAGCTATTTAACTAACCAACCAGCCGATTAATTAACCAACCACCCAATTAACTAACCAACCAGCCAGTTAACTAACCAACCACCCGATTAACTAATCAACCAACAAGTCGATTGTCTAACCAACTAGCCAATTAACTAACTAACCACCCAATTGACTAGCCAACCAACCAAAGACTGAGCTCTGACATACAACAAACCCAGACAAACATCTATACCTGAAAGACTCCGTCAAAGGGAGTTTACTCGGATGCAGACAGTCCAGCATTGCTTCTCTCCACCTTCTGTACTGGACCAGCCTGTCGAGCTTCTTGCGAGGCGTCACGGGCATCGAGCTCAGCTGGGGGATGCGGGATCGGACAGACAGCTTGTCCAAAGGTTGAAGCATCAGTCGGGACATTCTACTGGTCTCCATGTCTCTGTTGGCATCAACGTTTCCGCAGATCAAAACCCACCCACACTCAGACTAGATGTTAGTTCGTAAATGTTATTTTGTAGTGCCACAAAATAAATGTGCCAAATGGTTATACAAATTCTTAGCATACTACGGAGCAAGAAGAAGAAAGACACCATCACATCCTGTGTGATCTGAGCATAGAGAACTGGCTCAGAAACAACATCTTGTTTTCAAAGCCGAGGTAGGTATATTGACCGCTTCAAACGTCGTGGTGGGCTGGAGAAAATTGTGATGGAGGGTACAGCTACCGGGAAGTGATGCTGAGGCAGACATTCAGGAAGGTAGATACAATACAGTGAAAGTGCATTGGCTATGACAGCGCATGGGCTGGAGAATTAACAACAGAAATACAGACTCGCAGGCGTGCTGTAACCAGAGCGACTTTCTGTAAAGGACCTGCTTGCTGTTGTTGATGATGATATGATGATATAGCTAATCGAGGTTTCCCGGATTAGCAGCATACAATACTAGAGGGGGGCGAATGGACAGGGAGTACCGATTTAAAAAAAAGGGACGGAAGGCCAACTAGAATGGTAACAAGACCTGGCGATACAGACAAGGTTATTGATTTGGCTTTTGTGACCGTCAGCAGTGCTGGACACAAATTGCAGTGTCCTAGGCGATGGAAGTGACCATATGCCAAACTCAATCTTGATTTCTAAAGCTAGTGAGATCGGGGCTGTAATAACGCGCAAGACGTTTATGAATGAGAGGGTAAGAACCCTTCTTTGTTGCCTTCTTTATAAAGTATGCAGAGGAACCACCACCTCTGCTTTTTTGCAGCCTCCAAGATGAACCCAAGAAGTAGAACAGGTATGGAGAGCAAAACGAGTGCATACACAGAGTGAAGCTGTGCGAGTAATTCTGGCTTACAAGAGATACCCCGGTAGTACGTATGCGATTTACACTTGCACTGCCTACTATTGCAGATAGGCTCAAAGTCCTGCAGTCATTTCTCAGAGTAGTTGCAGTCAAGAAGCAGCTACTGCATGAAGCCCTGGGTAGAGGTAGGGGCCACAGACTGAAAAGAGGAAGTTCCTGGATGGCGCAACTGACGACACAATTAGACATGTGTACAGGCTTGATAAATTGTTGGCGATGAGAGGAGTGGGCTTCATAGTACAAATAAATGGACTTCGTTTAGTGCAACAAAGTCTGGCATATGATATGACAAAGTATAGTTTGAGAATGGAGGTGGAGGCAGTCACTGCTGCCTTCAGCTGGCTTGAAAATCAGCTGTACATACATGCATTGATTGTAACTCATTCAAACAGCATGTTGAGAATTGTGGAAACAGGCATGCTCCGTGCAGAATGGCAAGCGTCATTTCAGAGGTCCCGGGTAGTTAGCGTCCTTTGGATATTTTCTTCAAGTAATGCCAATATGTTGAGCACTGAGCAGACAGATAGACTGGCCGGTTCCGCGCCACTTGGTGGTGAACAAGCTAGATGTTGTGAGGGTCCTTTGTGAGCGAGTGAACAGTGCGGAGGCATAAAGAGATCATTACGGTCTGAGGAGAATGGCGCTGCGAGGAGTTTGAGGGGTCTGGTTGACGTTCAACACTCAAGGAAAGGGGGAGACAGATACATAATCAAACAATTAATGGTATTTTTGGAATTGGAACTCTTCGCTCACTGCTGAAGATGGGGACAGAGCGATTATGGCATTGTACCGAGTGCTGTGAAATCGATTCTTTATTCTAAATTTAACATTCAGCTTGTTAGTCAAATTGTGTGTTATATTTAGCCTCTCTTGCAATCAACTCGGTCACAGTCACCCCCTATTTACGTCGTCACTGTAAGTGAATGGGGGAAAAGTACAATTAAATTTTTGGTGCTTTATTAATGTCATACCCCAGATGACGTCACAGGACAGTCCAATATTTTAGAAGGTGGTAAGACTGGGTTTCCCGGCTTTCTGATGCTTTTTACGACCCCAAAACATCTAGAACTGGCCCTAACCCTAACCCACCTACGTCCCACGAGGGAGTGCAGCCTAGGTCTCATGACTGCCTGCAGCCTAGGTCCCACACTGCATGCAGTCTATCTACCACCCCCTGAAATATTAGACTGTCCCGTGACCTGTGGATTTTCCCTATTTGGGGTAGGATATTAATAAAGCACTAAATTTTCCAACAGAAAGACACACATATTTAGATAACAATGCTTATATATTTCCATATTCAAATAAAATTCTACAACAGACAAGGATACATGAATATTTAAAGGATCAACTGTAATTATGCGACAGATTCGAAGACAAATATACCTTGGTGTCATGCAGACTTTACTTTCTTCGGATATAATTTCGCATCCCTTTGGGGAAGAAAAAGAGACTGAACAGACACCTAAAAACACACTGAATACATCAATATAAAACAACTTGTAATTAATATTTAAAAGATTGTGGTTGAGTAAAGATGTCACAACATATCTCTGTGGCATGGCAGTTGTTATAATGCTGATTTTCTTATGATTTGATCTGATTCAAGAACCAATATCACAGCACTTGGGGCATTCCCATAAGCGCTCCGTCCCCATCTTCAGCAGCCAGTGAAGAGTTCCGATACTAATGGTACCAGTAGCATTCTGATTAAAAGTCCTCCTTGCCTTTCCTCTGAGCCTCGAGCATCTGTCAGAACCTCTCGTCACTCCCCGCTGCATCAATCTCACCAAACTGTGGTGATCCATCTGCTCCTCTGAAATGTACACGCTCTCCCACAAGGCACTAACCACGTCTGCCTTATCATGTATCAGTATTCCCCGGTGAAAAAATCCAGACAATACGCCTCACCCGTGTCCTCCGCAGCGAAGCATGCCACTCTACACGAAGCATACCTGTTCTGATCTTCCTCAGCATGCTTTCTGAATCAGTTACAATCACGATGTGTGTGTGTGTGTGTCGTG